GGGCGCCAGGGCTTGGAGGCGGAGGCCAAGTGCAGGCAGCACAGCTAGGGTGACATTTTGTTACCAGCCAGGGCAGGGTCACAGGATGTGGGGCTGTGCAGGGCAGGGCGGACAGGCTGGAGAGGGGGCAGAGAAAGGCCAAGGGCAGATTCCCCGCACCTGGCCAGCAGCCCCTGCACTCCTGACTTCCCCAGCGGCCAGCACACACACAAGTGGCCTCGTGCCCAAGCAGCCAGCAGCAGTAACCCTCATGACTCACGCTCGCCCCGCTTCATCCCAAAGCACTTTACCGAAAGGGCTCTCGGCCCAGCCAAGAGGTTCAGGCCCAGAGCCAGAACACCTGGCCTGCAGATCAGCGCGGGGTACACTGGGAGCTTTTTGGGGCCTAAGGGTCCCAGCTGCAACCTCGGCAAGGGACACAGCGACATGGGAACACACGGGAACCTCTCCCTTGCCCCCCAGCCCTAGTGAGAAGGCAGAGCACAGAGGGCTGTTCTCCTCCTTACACAGACAAAGAAACAGGCTCAGGTGAGGAGGGAGTTTGCTCAACAAACCCAGACACTAAACTAGGCCTGAGCCAGGCCTCCAACCCCCAAGGGAACCCTGGGCGCAGGGTGGCAAGTTCAAACCCAGCCCAAGCAATTTAGCAACTTAATGAGACCTTGTCTCAAGATAAAAATACAAGAGGTGCACCAGGGATCTAGCTCAGTGGCACAAGCGCCTGCCTAGCAAGTGCAAGGTCCTGAGTTCAATTTCTGGTACCCAAAAAAAACAAAAAAAGGGGGGGGGGAATACAAGAGGCCTTGGGTATGGCAAAACAAAACAAAACAGAAGGGCCGTGGATCTAGCTCAGTGGCACAGTGCCTGCCTGGCAAGCTCAAGACCCCGAGTTCAATTCCTGGTACTGGCAAACAAACAAACAAAAAACCCTCAAACACGTATTACAAAGGGCTTGGACCTGGGGATTTATTTAGCTCAGCGCTTGCTCAATGGCCTACACACACACACAGGAGAGAGAGAGGAACCGAGCAACCCGGCCCGGAAGCTGGGACTTTGGCTCCAAAATCTTGCTCTTTCCCAGTCAAAAAATAATTCGTGGAGGACGTGGAGCATAAAAAGAATTCAGCTGTGACATACACGTATCAGCTCCCCGCGAGGGACGTGATTGCCAGGCACTGCAAACGCCCGACTAATAAAAACAAAATAAATAAATAAATAAATTCACTGGCCTGCTTTCGGCTTTGTGAGAAGGCGCACGGAATGCCCGGGGCTGACCTGGGTTTGTGAGGCCCAGAACTCGAACTCTTTGGGAGGAAGAGGGTTTCTTTACCAAAATGAAAACACAGCAACAAAAAACCCGCCAACGACGAAGGCGAGACAACCGCAGGCCTCGCGGCCCTGGAGCCCCAGCTCCCTTCGCGCCGTGACACAGCCGGGCCTGCAGGAACCGGACACGCCGGCTCAGACAGCGTCCCCGCCCGTTGTGCAACGTGGCCCAGCGGGCCATGGAGGCCTGGGACCGGATCTCCTTGCTCCCATCCGGAGAGGCCGGACGACACCCGCAGCGAGGCCGCGGAGTGCCCGGGAGGCCGACACAGGCTCCGTCCCCGCGGTCCGGCCTTTTCCGGGCGGCGAGGGTGGTGAGCCGGGGCGGGAGAGGGCGGCGAGGCTCCCGCTTCGGCCTCGCGTCGGCTCGGCTCCCCCGGGTCCCCGAGCCGGGGGCAGCGCCCGCAGCCCCGGTCGAGTCTTTTTGACAAGCGCTGCGTGGCGGGGATTGGCTGGCCCGGGCGTGACGCCGGGAACAACAAAGGTGGAGTTGGAA